GTGAAATGGGCCGATGAGGTAGATTCCCAGGTCTTGAGTTAGGAACATGGGGCTAGAGCCACCTAGCCCTCAGGACAGGCAGGGGTGTGGCAGGCTGCAGAAAAGACCTCTTTCTGCAGCACCTAATGGAAGACGGGAGCATTTCAGGCATCCCCAGCATGCCAGCACTCTGTGTCTTTTGTAGGACCCTGGTTATTTAGTCAGAGAGAGCTGAAGCTTAAGAGGGTGGCGTGCACGCACACACACACACACACACACACACACACACACGCATGCACACAAATGAGGTTCACTGTGAGCATTATCTGCCGCAAAGCAAGACATATTCCAGGCATCTTGTTCAAACTGCAACAGAGAAAGACCCTGAAAACTGTCTGGGGAACAGTATGGCAACTTAGTGTTACTAAATTTAAGGTATGTAAGATAAAGATATAGCTTTATTTAGTCCTCTGTCCATATTGTTTTATTCGATGAACATAGGACTTCTGTAAAAGAGCTTTAATCAGCTTGCTCCTGTCCTTGCTCCCTCTCTCCCCAGCCCCAACTTTTCTTTTCAACCATGAGTTGTCCCATCTTAATATTTTTAGGAATATGAACTTGAGGGTTTTTTTAAAAGGGTTCTGTAGCTCTTTCTCAGCACTTATAACATCCACATGTAGCTCTCTTCTTTTAGGGGTCTCTCCCCACCAGACTGTAAGCTCCTGTGGGCAGGGACACTGTCATTTATTTTATAGCCTCTGTGCCCAGCCCTGGGAATGTAGGAAGTGTCACCTGCTTGCCTGCTTGGTGCCAATGTACTATGTTTAGTACCTGTGGCTTTGTTCAAGCACTTGACAAAATGTAGAGTCCAGGTCTTTATTGACCCCCGTCCCCCCTCCCGCTCCCCTCAGTTGGTGGTGTCCCAGCCCTTTATCAGCTCCACAGGCCAGGTGGCAGGATGGCCCAGAATGCCTCCTGTGGGCCTCCCTTCCAGGCCATCCTGCAGCTGCTCTGTAGAAGTTACTTGTATTTGTTCAGGCAAAACAGCTTGCAAAAAATAGTTCACTATGCTTTCTGATTTCAGCTTTCCAAATATCTATATGGACAGAAAACACAGATTCCCTCCAGTTTCTAACAGAATGTCTTCATCGAAGCTTAAGCTTTCGAAGCTTTCTGTAGTCAGGTACTGGCCAGTGGAGTAGACATAGCTGGGATAACGTTCATCTGCTTTGCCTGTGGCTGCATCTCTCAGTAGGGTGTGGTCCAGGGGCATGGGCAGAGGAGTGGGGTCGCAGAAGCAGAGACCTGACACAAACTATCCCCGATTCTCCCTCACTGAGTGGGAAGGGACATGGCAGAGTGGGAAAAGGACATGTTTTGACAACAGAAAGACTTGATATGAATCCCTGTCCAGCCATTTACCTGCTGTGTGGCTGCACAAATTATTCACCCTCTCTGAGCCTCAGGTTCCTCATCTGTAAAATGGAGAATAATTTGCTGTAAAAGTGTGGTCAGAACTGTGTTAAATCTTGCATGCCATGCACACACACACACACACACACACACACGTGTGTGTGTGGAGAAGGATAGAGAGACACAGAGAAGAAATTCTGTAAAGAAAACACCAACATGTTAATTATGGTTATGTGTAGGTGGTGAAACAAACTGTGAATTTTTTTTTTCTTTTTCTGCTTTTTGGTATGTTTAAATATCTTTTTCCATGAACACGTATTGACTTTATAATTAGGGGAATAGAAAATAAACTTTAAAGCATAAAATAGGAGAAAAGAAATAATATGCATTAAGTAGCATGCACTCAGTAAATGGTAGCTATTTTTTACTAATTAGTCATTATGCCTAATAATAATAATTAGGAGTAATGGTTTCCTCTGGGACCAGAGGTTGT